CGCTGGTGTCGATTCGAGCGACAGGCTCTCCGCTCGGCCAGAAGCGCAGCAGGTCGCCATAAACGTGGAAATGCTCCTCGGCGTGGGCATGAAAGCCGACGACGAGGGCAGCGCGTTTCCTCAGAGGGATGATCGGGGCTTTGGCACAGTTGGTCCTGGACGACGGCCGCGCGCCGTACCTGCGTGGGGTGGCGTGGCTTCGTCTCGTCAAGGCGTGGGCGGTGCTGCGTGACAACCACAGGTGGCTTCTGCCGCAGCGTCTCGCTTTCGTGCACGGAGGGCCGGCGGCCACACTGGGGCGCACGAGGACCAGCGGAGCATGGCGCAAGATGCTGGAGCTGCCGCTCGCGCTATCCCGAAAGTGCTGTACGCTGGATTAAGTGTGGATCCGGACGGGCTTCGATCTTTTGCAGGATCTCGCAAGTTTCGCGAGGGACAACTCCCTGCCGGGTTGCGACGACGCGGGGCTGATGGCAGTCCGCAAGCAAAAACGGCATCTTCATCTGACCCGACAAACCGGCCTAGAGCAGGATCAAGGGGGACCCGGTAACCGGGGGCCGTCTTCAGCGAACTCCAGCTGTTCGAACACCTGCTCCGAGCGCACATCGACTGCCATGGCGGTCAGGCCGAGCTTGCTGCAGCAATCGGCCTCTGCCGCCGCCATATGGCCACCGCGGAACCGCAGGGCCACCAAGAAGTCCGCGCTCGGGTCTACCGCGGCGGTGGCCACGGGCCGCAACAGCTGCGCCTCGACGCGGTGGTTAACCTCCGCCTTCACGTCCATCTTGGAATCCCCGACGCAACTGCCGTCGGCCAGCAGCCTCGACTCTTCGCACGCGGCCCCCCCCTTGCAGCGCAGACATGAACACGCCAGCGTCGCACGACCAGGAGGCGGGGAAGTGTTGGACCGCGCCTGGCAGGAAGCGGGTGGCCTCCGCGCGCAGCTCCGTAGGGGCGACCCGCGGCTCGACCGCAGGGAGCCTGCTGTGCTGAGGTTCGGCATAGCAGATCTCGACGTCGACGATCTCCTGGGCAGGCTGCCGAGGGCCCAGGCGCGGGCCTCGCCTTGCCGCGCGCAGCTGGCGCGTGCTAGCGCGTGCCACGTCCACACCAGGAGCCTCGGCATGAATATACACATCACGGCGCAACTTGTCCGCGGGCATTGGGTGCCGCCCGCGCAGAAGCGAGGCGCGGGCAAGGGCCCCGGCGATCAGCCGCTGGACCACCTCCTCGTCCCCGAGTGCCTCCATGAGCGCCTCGTACTTCGATCGGGCCTCAGACAGCTTCCTCGATAACCGCAGGACGAGCGCGTCGGCGGACGCCCGTGCCCCCGCGGCTCCGCGCAGGCGCCGTCGGCCATCCGCATATCCAGTTGCTGCGCACGCGACGGAGGGGGCGGCGGTAGCATCCCCCGCCATCGCGGGTCCCGCGCGCGCCGAGAGCGGACGGAACACTAGGCCTTGAGCCAAAATGGTTACGGAAGGAGGTGGATGGGGAAGGAGGGGGAGGAGGAGGAGGCGGAGGAGGAGGAGGAGGAGAAGGAGGAAGAGGAGGAGAAGGAGGAGGAGGAAAAGGAGAAGGAGGAGGAGGAGGAGGAGGACCAGTTTAAACCCAAGAGGCATGAACGATGTTGGAAGCAGTTCTCCCTGCACGCTTCCTCTTTATAAGCCCCTACAATGGTTCATTTCCACTGAGGGAACTGCCTCGTTGGAAGACATCCGTTTGAAGAGCCGGAAGCATGCCAAAACATTGTTCTCGGGATTTTAACGCCACGGGTCAACTTGACTGTTGCGTCCTGACGGTTTTGAATTGCGTTAGAACGCCATGTCTGGGACTTCAACACCGCGAATCAACGTAACTGTTGCGCCCTCATAATCCGGAACCCGTCCAAAACACCGCTTCTGGCACGCTGATCATGGGAATTCGTGAAACCCTCGCAAATTATTAGAACGCATGTGCGCGACGCTAAGGCGAGAACCACATTTTGAAAAGGAGCCGCCCTCAATCCGTGAAGCTCTTGCAAACGTTTCAAACGAATTTGCGCGGCGCTGAGGCGATAACCACATTTTGAAAACCACCCGCCCTCAATCCGTGAAGCTCTTGCAAACTTTAAAACGAATGCGCGCTGCGCTAAGGCGGCAACCACATTTTGAAAACCACTCGACCTCCATCTGTGAAGCTGTTGCTACATTTAAGCGTCAGGGTCATAACTGGTCAGGAAGTCTCAGGCGAAACGCCCTGCCCGCCCTAAAGACTTGCCTCGGGGTGCTACAGGGAGACGTTATTTCTAAGGACAAGGAATAGAGCAGGAGGAGGAGGAGACGGAGGAGGAGGAGGACGAGGACGAGGAGGAGGAGGAGGACGAGGAGGAGGAGGAGGCGGACAGAAGGGGGAGGAGGGGGAGGAGGAGGAGGAGGAGGAGGAGGAGGAGGAGGAGGAGGAGGAGGGGAAGGAGCAGGAGGAGGAGGAGGAGGAGGAGGAGGAGGAGGAGGAGGAGGGGGATTGAGACAGAGAGGGGGATAGACAGGACTAACGGGGGGCGGGGAAGGAGATGGAGGTGAGGAGCAGAGTGGAGTAGAAGTGAAGGAGGAAAGGGAGAAAAGACTGGGGAGTGAGGAGGGAGGAGAGCTAGAGGGAGGATGGAAAGAGAGACAGAGAGAGGGAGAGAGAGACACAAGCAACAAAGAGCAACAGCGAGAGAGACAGAGGAGGAGGAGGAGGAGGAGGATGTAGTAGCACAGTATTAGGAGGATGGTGCATGAGGAATGGTAGAGGAGGGGCGACATGAGATGAGAGAGGAGGGATGGGTTGAAAGGTGGGAGGAGGGATGTTGGATGGGAGAGGTGAGAAGCGGATAATACACGGGGTAGAGCAGAAGCGAACATTGCTTGCATATCACAAGATAAGAGAGTGCACAATGATGCGAAAGGAGGGGAGAGGATTTGCGAAGGAAGGGGGATGCGATGCGACTGGTCGAGGTAGACGAGGAAAAGGCAGGAACAGGGCGTACGGAACACAGAGGAGAGAGGCAATCTAGGCCCGCACGCACCACACGTTCTTCTTCCTCACCCCCTCGTCCGCCCTCATCTTCATCATGACGAAAGGGAGGGGAGGGAGGAGGGAGAATAGGGCTTTCGAGGAGGTGGCGTTCTGTGCGGCTCTCTCTTCCTTCACTCGTGCGTTGTCCCTCCTCTCTTTTCTCTCTCCTGGCCCCCGTCGTCCCTCCTCGTTACTCGCTCTTCGTTGCCCTCCTGCTTCTCTTTCGTACCTTCCTCCTCCCACTAGTCTTGCGTCCTCACTTCTCTTTCCTCCGTTCTCCTCCCTCCCTGGTCATTCATCCTCCGCCCTTACTCCTCCATCCTCCCTCCTCCCTCTTCCCTCCTCGCTCCTCGCTCCACCCTCCTTCCTCCTCCCTCCTCCCTTCCCCCCGTTCCTATCCTCGCGGGGGCGAGACCTGTCCAGAGTCGCTGTGAACCCCCGACCCCCTTGCCCGACGCGCGACCGCGGCTGCTCAAGGTTGGGACGAGGCTGACAATGAGGAGCAAGCGAGTGGGGTCTCTCCAGCATCGACGGGCGATCGTGCCGGGAGGATCGATCTGCAGTTTCAGAGGTGCCCCGAAGGGCCAGACGCTTTCCTCTGTGGCAGAGCGACGCGCAGGCTGGCACGGCCGCCTGTTTCTCAGGCGCTCTTCTCTGGGATAAGCGACGCAGGTTGGCACGGCCGCCTGTTTCCATAACTCCGACGGGCTCCGCCCTCGGCCGCCACACCCCACCACCCGACTGAGCTGGAGGACGCCAGCTGTAAGTCGGGCCTGTCCCTCTATAGGAGGACTATTCGAACATAGTAAAGCATAGTCTGGGGACGATTCGTTGATGACTTTTGAATGTGTCTGAACATTTTCGTTTTTAATTCTTAGTTTTGATTTTTCGTCCAAGATCCGCCTGTAGGGGGACATGCCCGACCTAACGCCAGCTGAACCCTTGCACCGATCCAGGCCGGGCCAGCCCTGAGCCCAGGATCGGTACTGGTGAGTAGTGTTGGCGTCCTCTTGTGAATCTACAGTGGGGGCGCGCATCAAGAAACCATCTGCTTTCGTCAGGATATCCTGAGTTTCTTCGCTCCGCGCGCCGCGCGCTGGCTTCCCGCAGCCGGGGAAGGAGCGGCTGCGTTCAGGGTGCTCCGGGTTTCCCCTCAGGTGCACCTCGCGCGCGGGTTTTCAGGGTTGGGTTTCTTGCGAGGGTTTCTTGCGGCCGCGCCCGCACTGTAAGGCTCCTTGTGTGTCTCTGCGTTTGCCATCTTGTGCGCTGTCGTGGCTGCGCGAGGCCACCCTGGAACCACCGCGTGACCTCCTGTTCTGCGCGCGCGTCCCGGTCTGGGCAGGGAGGGAGAGTGGCGGGGAGGGAGGGAGAGAAGGAGGGGAAGAGGGAGGCGGAACGTATGTTGTATAGGGGGGCGGAAGTGGAACGCTGCGGGCAAGATTAGAACCTTTTGGTGGCCACGTGGGGCTGGCCATCTTGGCGTCTCTCGGGTGAATATTTGGGCCTCTTTGGAGCATCTTGGAGCATCTCGGGGCCACGGTGGGATAATCCCAGGCAGTGTTTGGGCCATTTGTGGTTCCTTCGGGCCTTCTTTGAAACCACGTTGCACTACGCAGGTGTTATGTCTTTTCGTATGTCATGCTCCGAAATGCCATCTTGGAGGCCAGCGTCAGCATCTTTCAGTGCCATTTGGGGTGTCTCGGATGTCGTCTGGGTGACCCCAGAGCATCTCGAAGCATTCTGCGCCCCCCGGAACTTCATTGCGCCCGTCTTGGAGCCATTCTGGAGCCATCCTGCCCTCCCTCGCCATCTTGGGGCAATCCTGTGCCGAAGGGGGTGCTTCGACAACAGTGTCAGGAGCATCCTACCGACGCCCTGCGGGCTCTTCCGCCATCCGGGATCTGTCCCACTCCGTTGGCCGTCGGTAGGCTGTTTTATCTTATTCCGTGAGGCAGCCAGAGACTCCGACTGCTTTGCGTTTCGGAGAAAACCGCAGGGGGAGGGGTCGCCACAACCGCCGACAACCGCAAACCAACCCTCCAGCCGCGGGCAAACGCCGTGCTCCGACGAAGCGATGCCGATTCCTGGCGGCGGCGTACCTCCTGGCAGTTATGGAAGAGGCTGCTTAGATGCGCTGTTTCGGGCATGGGCGGACGCGCGCTCTCGCATACGGGTTCAGGGCGTGCTGCGGTACGCACATCACATCTGTAACGCGGCAAGCGCAGGATGCTTCGGGATAGACGCGCAGCGCGACGTGAGCGAGGCTCGCAGTCTGGCGCCCCCTCACGTGGGAGAGGGGTCAGCGGATCTTCTGCCTTCGAGCCTGCCCTTTTCTGGCCCTCCGCGGCTGCCCTGCTTGCACGGCGAGCACTCAGCCGCACCAGGGACAGCTCCCAGAGCTCAGGGTCAACAGCAGACAACGAAGCCGAAGCAGCAACGCGTGTTCCCACAACCTTTGTGGCAATCTTTGAGGGCAGACGAGCCAAGAGAACCCACACGACCCAGGGGGCATCAGGCACCTCAACAGCGACGAGCCGAGGCATTTCGGAACCTGGAGGCAGTCGTAGGCACCAGAACAGGGATGAACCGAGAGTGCTCTTGGAGCCCAGCGGCAATATCAGGCACCAGAGTGGCGTGTAGCGGCGAACCAGCTAAACTCCTTGGAACCCCGGGATCTTTCTTCACGAGCCTTTGAGAGTCACTCAGTGCGAGCGCTGTTTGCTGATTAAGGGGCAGCCTGGGGCTTTGGTTCCTGGTACCTATTCGCAGGAGGCACGGTCCCCAGCGGATGCACGGCAGCGATCAGGAAGCATCTTGGCCAGGCAGTCCATCATTGAATCGAATTTTCAAGCACTTGCATCTTGCATCCGTTTGCGTGTACTCGTGTCACTGTGCTCGTAGCTGGCCAACCTTTCCCATGCTGCGCTGTTTTTTCTTATCTCTTGCACAACGGGGTAACCATTATTTGGAGATTGGGAGGTGGGGAAGGATGGTGAGAAGGAGGAGGAGAAGGACAAGGTGGAGGCGAAGGAGGAGGCGGATGGCCAACGGAAAACTACATGAAAATCAATTTTCAGATGTCCGCGCGGAGTTATTGGGTCGATGCTGGACCCTCCTCCCCTCGAAGTGCGCCAGGGGCGGCTCTGGAGGCGCCGCCAGGGGGCGATCCGCCGCCGACGGTAGAACTACGCGCGGACCTCCGACAGTTTATGCTCATGCTGCCCTGGGCCCTTCTAGAGGAGGAGGAGGAGGAGGAGGAGGAGGAGGAGGAGGAGGAGCACGCAGGCTCTGGCTGTGATCTTGCTGCCTGTCCTTCGCCTGCTAACGGGGAGTAGCCTCTTGGGGGTCAGGAACAGGTAAGCACAATTCCCTGGATGCTCCTTGTTCGGGGCAGCACTCGTCATCAAAGATGCTGCTTCGATGGCTTTTCCTTGATATCTTCTCCGGCAAAGGCTCCGCCCGTGCCAGTCTTTTTTCTCAGATGTATGTGCTTCCTTGGCTTGCCCTTGGGGGGCTGACGCCCGAGAAGTCTGACACCCGTGTGCAGGCGAATGAGCCTGGCGGAGGGTGGAGGGAGGAGGGAGGAGGGAGGAGGAGGGGAGAAGGGAAGGAAGGAAGGAAGGAAGGAAGGAAGGAGGGAGGGAGGGGGGGAGGCAGGAGGGAAGGGAGGGGGGGGAGGGAGGAGGGGAGGGAGGGGGGGAGGGAGGGGAGAGGGAGAGGGAAGGGAGGGGGGGAGGAGGGAGGAGGGAGGAGGGAGGAGGGAAGTCGTGGCCGTGCCGAACCCCAACCCCGGCCCCCCCCGCGCGCGCGTGTGCGCGAATACCCGTCGAGCGAGCTGGCGAGCATACGGCGTCGCATCACTGACATAGCCGCTGCGCTCTGCTCTCGCTCCATCTCCACTTGGCTTGGGCCTTCCTCGGGGGCGTCCGAGCGACGACTGGGAGGTGACGGCTGGGGGGTGGTGACGAGTACACACTGTTCACTTCTAGTTCTTCGAAGGTTCGTTGATTTTTTGGGGGCCAAAATCCTTTCATTTCTAATTCTTCTATCCTGGGCCTCTTCCTGGCCACTAGTGGGCCAGGAACAATTAGAAACGAGCACAAACAGAAATGAGTACGATTAGCGTGTACTTGGCTGGGGCCTTCCTCGGGGGCGTCCCAGCGACGTGGCTGGGGGTGGTGACGAATAGGGTTCGAGGTTCGACGTCCTCGTGCGTCTTCGCAGTCTCGTGGACGCCTTCTCGCTTCGGGGTGCTTTCTCTCGCAGCTGCGCCTCGTCGAGGGCTCCTCTGGGGGTGCTTGGATCGTCCCAAACGGCCGCCGGAGTCCCAGTTACGAGCCGAAATCCTCCTCGAGACGGGGGTCAATGCAAACGGGGGTCAGCCAGAGCGCCCCGATCTTGCAGGATCCTGCAGGGCCAGGGGCGCACTGACTCGGTCATGGGTGCAGGATCTTGCGGGATCTTGCAGCATCCTTCGCATTGACCCGGGTTTGGGTGCAGGATCCTGCAGGGTCTTGCAGGAGTCTGCAAGGCCTGGCTGACCCGGGTCTGGATTGACCCGGGTCAGAAGGTCTCCGACGAAAGGCACCAGGCGTCGAAGCGGGGTTTGAGGACCAGGAGGGGGGATGGATCTCATGGCTGGGGCCATGGTGCATTCCAGATGTCGCGGCCCCCTCCTTCGTTTGTCGCCTCCGCCGGTCCCTGGCCGTCCGCGGGCATGCCTTGGGGCCATGATGCGCCCCCAACCCTCTTCCTTCTTCTCCTCCTCCTCCTCCTCCTCCTTCTCCTCATCGTCCTCCTCATCCTCCTCCTCCTCTTCCTTCCCCTCCTCCTCCTCCTTCTTACTCTTCTCCTCCTCCTCCTCCTTCTCCTGCTCTTTCTCCTCCTCCTCCTCCTCCTCCTCCTTCTCCCTCTCCTCCTGCCCTCTCACAGGGTGAACTACCAAACTACTCTACTCTCGCTTCTGGGCAAGCCGAGTCGTACACCGCGCCCCTCCGTGAAGCAGCCTGACCTTTGTGGGCCACCCCACGGGCAGTTTGGTATCGCTCGGCTCCCGTTTGGAAGCGAAAGGTGGTCAAGTGCAAGGCAGGTTCGCTTTGCCTCCTCCCCTGTCGCCCACACGCAGTCCAGGAAGGGCTTCGCCTTCATTGCGTCCCGCCTTCGGCGGAGGCCCGCGCATGGCGGAGGAAGTGAAGATCGGCGGCGGACCTAACCGCGAAGGCTCGGCGGAGGGCGGTGGAAGCGAAGCGGAGGCGGGTCCGGCGGCGAGAGCTCCAGTATCGTTTAGCCGACCTCCTTATCCCCATCCCCGTCCCCATCCAGGCCTCCAGCATCTCAGCACTCCAGTTGGGGATCTACGCCTCGGAACCCAAACGAACCGGCGTATATCCCCATCCAGGGTGGTAATCGGCCAGTGGGGCCCAGGCCACGCCCATGGGGATATGGGGTCGTTTCATGGATGCTCAGAGTTGGCGGAAGCTCGGCGGGTGGCGACGGGATCAGGGGCAGCGTCAGGGGGGGATAGGCTCGGGGGGGCGCATCGATCCCCAATCGCTCATTCATCGAAGACAGGGGGCCCGATAGCCCACCTCGCGCAGAAACGTGCGGATTCGCTGTCGGGGGCCCATCGCCGATCAATCTGCGATGTGTCGCCGATTCCAGGTCGATACTTCCCTCTCCTTGGCTGGTCCCCCCCTAA